TGTGTGTGTGTGTGTGTGTGAGTGTGTGTATGTATGTATGTATGTGTGTGTTTATGTATGTGTGTGTGTGTGTGTGTGTTTATGTGTATGTGTATGAGTATATATGTGTGTGTGTGAGTGTATCAACTATATGAGTATGGGATAGATATATCTAGTGGAGGGATGCAGCCATTTAGCATCACCTTATGCTTTATGTTTGTTTTGTTTTGTTTTTTGTTTTTGTTCTGCTGTTTTTCCCCAGCTTTGTATGAGGATTATTCAGCTATAGCTTGTTCACTTCTGTCTGTCCGATGTTAATAAAAAGATAAAAACAAATTGCAAGACATAATCTCCTCATGTTTGTGCGTGCGGGTCTAAAAGAAGGATGACCAACAGACTGTAAAAGCCCATTATTAAAGCTCACTGTAGACTAAGGTTTTGACATGGTATCTTTGGTGTTGGCCTAAAGCGGGTCAAATAAAAAACAAAACAATAGGAAATGCACGACATACATCTGATGCAAAAAAGTGACATATTTTCCTCGGTCACACCTTAACGTACGCCCATGAAACACAGTCCAACAGATGGGCGAGTACATTTCGAGACTGGCGTAAAGATGTCTAGACAGTCTTCGGAGGAAATGTATAAGCTTACGCTGAAATGTGGATGCAGGATGGTGTCGCTCTCTCAAACTGAGCAATTTGTAGGCGAGGTTACTGTAAATCGTTATTTGCAGTGATCCTGTACATGCATCTAAAAGGTGGTGTAATACAGGGCCCAAATAAAGAAACAGAATGAAACGTAAAACAGTAAAAAAAAATAAAGTAGATTACAATTGGTGGCTTTTAAGGACAAACGGCTAACCCAGATTTCAGGGATTTCCAGAAATCTTCGCCCTTGCCGAATTTGGCCATTGCCCTACTTATAGGAGAAGTTTGGTTTCATTATAGTGTATTTTTGTTTGGTTATAGAGAAAACTTGCCTTGTCTCTTAAAGAAATAAAAAAGGGGCAAAAACTTTGCCTTCGATTTTCTCAAAACAGCATTTTTCGGGATAGCTCCCTGGTGCTTAAAAACGACCAATTGTTCCCTGGTCTACAGGAGTGCCATGCAGAGCTCAGGGCCCATTGGCAAATGAGTAAGTCAGCTTGAATTGTTTTAACGCGGTCTGACGAAAGTGAACAGGCTTTCCTGAAAAAAAAGAAGAAAAAAAGGCGATCTATTTGTGAGCTTCTCAACTCTGTGTGATCAACACAGCTTCACGGAGTAGATGTGTTTGTGTTGAACGAAACTTTGTAAGCTAACAAACTATATTTTCCTCTCTGCCACAGTCCTTTGGATTAGTAATTAATAAGACTTCTCTCTCACTCTGTCTCTCTCTGCCTCTCTCTCTTTCTCTGTCTGTCTGTTCTCTCTCTCTGTCTCCGTCTCTCTATCTCCCCCCCCTCC